GCGACAGTAGCTAGTCGTCTTGAACAACTTATGAGAAACTTTCTATGGTCAAGGGACGCTGAATCAAAAAAGTTCCACCTCATTTCTTATGATAAAGTCTGCCAACCGAAGCGTCTGGGGGGACTCGAGATTCGTATTTTGAGGAAACAGAATACGGCCCTACTAAAATGGTGGTGGCGACTTGCAAATCACAATAACTTTCTTTGGACTCAAGTTATCCACCGCAAATACAGAATCCCCCCTTCTAACTGGTTACCGGAAGGGACTAGTCCTACCAAGATGTCTAGTGCTTGGAAGTCAATGATGTCGCCTTTCTCCCTCTTCCAACAAAACATTCGCTTCCATCCTAGGAGAGGTGACAAAACTTGCTTTTGGTCAGACCTATGGCTGGGCCCACTCCACTTAGGGATCGGTTCCCCTTTCTCTTAACCATGGCCACCAATACATCCTCTTCCATTGAGGACAAGATGCGCATCTCAAGTAGTCGTAGGGTTTGTAACCCATCTTTCAAAAGAAACCTCTCCGATAGAGAAACCTCAGACTTTCTCTCTCTATCCTCCTTGTTACACTCTACTTTCCTTGCTTTCTCTGATCCGTATTGTATGGGGTGGATCCCCTCACCCTCTGGCTCTTTCTCAGTTGCCTCCTTTGACAAGAACCTGTTGCAACTTCCCACCTTTCCCCACTCTCCGACCTCGTTGGTACCCAAGGTGTGGTTCACTATAGCCCCACCAAAAGTGCAAGCTTTCAATTGGATGGCGTGCTCTGAAAAGGCACTTACTATTGACCATTTACAACGAAGGGGTATTCCCATTCCTGACCACCGCTGTGTCATGTGCTTTTGTGAAGAAGAGAGCAACCGTCACCTCCGTATTCATTGTAGCCTTGCTTTCAATCTGTGGAGTCAACTTTTTCGCCACTTTGGCCTCTCCTGGGTTACACCTGCTTCCCTTCCGGCACTCTTGAGTCTCTCCTTGGACTCTCATTGTCCAAAGGCAGGCAGGCTCCTTTGGAAAGCCTCCATGGCAGCAACCAACTGGGTAATATGGATTGAAAGAAATTCAAGAATTTTTTGAGGATCCAGGTGTGAAGCTTCGGCCCTCTTCCACAAGATTATAGCTCATGCCATTTTCTGAGCTTCAAATCACAAAGGCTTTCAAAGGCATTTTGGCTTCGACTTTCCTACAAACTTGGGAAAACGTCCTTCGACTCCAACCACCTCGGGGTTGTTCGAGCTAACAATTGGTTTCCCCCTCCGGCAGGCCTCGCAAAAATGAATTTTGATGGGTGCTCATTGGGAATCCCCAGCCCAGCTGGCGTAGGTTCAGAGACCACAGTGGCAATATCCTGGCCTCTTTCTCCGAGTTCATTGGCCATGTCGATTCCCAATTAGCTGAGTCTTTCGCCCTACTATCGGGTGTCAAATTATTCGACCCCACATGGGGACAACCTCTAATTGGAATGAGATGCCAAAAATATTATCAATTGGGCTTTTGGAAAGGTTGTTCCCCCCTGGTACCTTGCTTCGATTTATGATGAGATTATGCACATTTAGAGGGATACAGCTGTCTTATGGTGGCATATTTTGAGTGAATCAAACACCCTGACGGACCAATTGGCTAGGAAACGTGCAGTTGCTCGTGATGCGAATCCTTAAGAGCGTGGGGATTGGTCTGCTCACCTGGGTGATTCGACCTTAGTCGTTTTTGTAGCCTCGACTTTTTGGTTCTGCTGTATCATTTTGTATATCTTATGTAATGGGCACTTGTTATAAGCCCCACTCATTTTTTTTATAGGGTCCTTTCGGATACACCCATTTTTTAGTGAGAAGCCTAGCCTGTGGGCTATCTTAAGGACTATTGTAATACCTTTTTTATTAATACAACAGTTAACAATTTCAAAAAAACATAAAAAATAGTAATGGTACTTGTCCTTGGGAGGAAGCTTTTTATACTATGTTTCTTCTTTGATATGTTGAATATAATGAATTCATTCCTGATAGGGCAATATCCCAGCAATCAATGTTCCAAAAAACACTGGGTGGCATACAGGCAGCTGTGTAAAAAATGCATAATGAGGAATTTTAATACATTTTTTATGTTCAGTCAATCCAATCTCCAAAGACCAATCAAACTATTTGAGATTTGGACAATTAGGTAATAACACATTAAGAAATTTGAAAAATATAATCCAACATTCAAGTTCAGTACTAGACATAACACAGTCCATTGTCCATAACTCCATCCATACACACCATAGTCCATACCATGACCATTATTACCATCCTAGTCCATGGTCCATACGATGAAGAAAAAAAAGGGTTTACGTCACATCGAAAACTAACCCCCCCCCCCCCCTCCCTCCTCTTTTCCCCCTAATTTAAGGGGGAGAAAGACTAAAATGCCCCTCCACGAGAAGTATTTTTACCCCTGGGCTGGCACAGGTGGCCGCTCAAGGACCGAGCTCCCAGAAGGGCCATCTAGGCCTGGGCGATGTGCCCAGGCCCTTTGGCTTAGGCGGCAACCTAGGCTCTACGTGGGCCGCTTTTTGAAACTACGCCAACAAAAAATCCCTAGCAAAACCAGGTAGTGATAATTTTGCCGGCATCTTGTTCATACTCATACCCCTTGGCCCTCCTCCACCAAGTAGTTTACTTCATAGGTATTATATGTCCATTCAAGTATCTTTTGTGCATTTGACTCATGGAGCTGATGTACCCACAAGACATTCTTGTTCTAATTGAAAGCCAAGACTCTTCGATCCTGCTTTCTGCATGTTATTTCACAAATGAAACCCACCATGACATCATTAATGTTTTTTGAAAGGGAGTGCAATTATATTTCAGGAATGCTGTTTGGATGCTATACAGTGTTTCAAAAAGCGCTAGGCATGTCCTAGGGGGTCCAGGTCGTCCAGTGCCTAGGCGGGCACCCAGAACCTGGGCGGCCCAGTCGAATCCAAAAAGGATGCCCATTTGAATAAAAAAGGATATATAGTATAAAAAATAAAAATTAGGTATTTAGGGCACTTACTTTGAGTTTGATTGCTCAATCTTCAAACTTCCACCTCAAAGATGCTTTTAAGGATTCAAAATCTTTTAAAAAAAAACCCAATAGATTTATAAAACATCAAAAATTAAATCTAATATCAATAGATGATGTTTTGATCAATTTTTGTCAACTTTGAGAAACCCTTCGATCTTAAAGAAATCACCAAAACTTAGTTTTTTTTGGAGGCTTTCTCTCTCTAAAATGGGCTCCAATAAGTTTTAGGTTTCAAATGAACTTAAAACCATCCTTCTAATCTTTTATATTTTAAAAAAAAATCAATACAAAAAAAAAGAAATTCCGCCTCTGGACCGTCTAGGTGCTGGGCGGCCCGCTTTTTGAATCATGGATGCTATGTGACAAGGACATGGACATTGATATAGGCATATGTTGTGTTCAGACAAAGAAATGATGCATCCATTACAGCTTCTTAGAATAGCATTGTCATACACGACATGTTTGTACATGCCCTTACAATGCTGAGATTTCAAGTTGCCTACACATGGGTTTGACTATTTGTACATATTTGGATCTAAGACGAATTCGTAATTAAATGAGAATGAAATTAACTAGAAGATTAGACATGCTTGTCCAAATTATATATAGGTGTGCACATGTACAGAGTAATGGCTACGCATGTCTAAGTTCTGGCAAAGTGTGTCCAGAATTTTGACGTAGCTGATGTTTGACATGCCATATGCTGCGTATCTCACATGAAAATCTCCATGTTGCACCTGAGGACATGTTTGGGAAGTTCCGAATGGCATATTGGCAACGGTTTTAGACGTGTCCGAGTTTGACACACTAAAACATGCCGAACACTCATGTTCTTACATGGTTCGGATGTATTTGCAAATTCCTTTTACATTGGTTGGTTGGCATGGTGTTAGTTAGCATGGTGTTAGTGCTAAATCTCAAAGCTCCTAGTATGGCATTTACCATCCTTGAAGTTGAGGTTCCTTGCTCACATGGCATTTGCTTTATCATAAAGTTTGTCATTCTTCACCTGAAGTTTGCACTCCGAATTCATTTGTAGTTCATTTCAAATTGTTTCGGAGGTGCATTGAGATTTGTTGTGGTTGGTGATGATGATAAACTTTAAATGGACAATAATTAACTGCAATTGCCTTAAATGCACAAAAAGGATACTTTTTTAAAAAAATATGAATTATTATGGTCATCAGCCCTCATAAACAAATAAGTACCCTTTCCCTATATGATTTGTCATAGACGATAGTAGTATATCTTGTATAAAATTTGGTGATGAGTTACATCCCCATTTTATTACGTTCCAAAATGATTATATGTAGAAAAATATCTTTCTCATCATTGTACTGTGGGAAACATCATGCATTTTAAAGAAGGTCAATATAAACATGGATGCTACGGGTATCTATGTTTCTGAGAAATATTGTCTTGTAACAGATACTATATTTAGATAAAGGGTGCGGTTTGTATAGAGCCATGCTCTAAACAATCAAATTAGAGCCTACCTTCAGTGTCTACAAATGTGGTTGCAATACTGGAAATCTTTGCGAGAGCCTTAAAATATATTTTCATCTTTATTTATAAAGTTTAAAGCTTAAAAAATAGTGTAGATCGACAGATCTATGAAAACTTGAAGATGTTGAAAACTAACGGTCCAAAAATACATTACAAAATACACTGTTTCCAAAACTTGAAATCTATTTTTTTCTCATGTCCATACATCTTAATGTCGAGATGATCAATTTGAGGATATTTAGGCATCAAAACTTTTCCCTTAGATAAAGTGTCTAGATATAGTATCTCTCAAGTGGGTGGGTATATAGTTTACATTTTGAGATATTCTTTCGCTGTCATGTTTTCTTTTCGTTTTCTCATTGGTGTTGTGTTCCTTGCTTTGTAATATGGTTGTGTTTGAAAATGGATTCCGATGCAGAGTTTATTAGAGTTCTTGGACTTTCCTTGCAGGCTCGTATACATGATGAAAGCTTGCGTTTTGTGCTATCAGATCAAGCTATAATGGCACTTGCGACTAACTTTCCACAGACAATAGAAGCAATTTGTGAAACTATATCTGAGGCTGATTCTGAATTGGATTTCTCAGAAATATATTATTGTTCTTCACTGTCTTCTCCTTCACCTGTTGTCTATAGTCACATAAAGGATGTTTCCCACCTTCTTCAGGCAAACTTGAACGACTTCGACTATATCTTGACAAGAATGCTCGAAACTTATCTAGGAAATGGGGGATCCTTTTCACTATCTGCCCAAAAGTATGCCATTACATCCACTTTCAATTTGAAACTGACAAATGGCTTGTGTTCTAAGAGAAATGGTGCAAAACCTATGAGACAGGCGTCTCGGAAGGCTTCTCGTGAGCTATTTGTCCAAAAGTTCTCCTGCAAATCTCCAGTGTATCATAACTGTAGAATTTATGCAAATGATGGGCGGTTACTTTGTTATTGTGATTGCAGAAAGGTCGCCTGGTTAGTAAGCATGTTGCGATATTTGGATTTCAGGACATTTGTTTTCATCATAATCTGTTATTTGTACTCAGCTATAAATTTCTATGGCAGGTATCTGCATCGACAATTGGCAACACTCATTGAGGATGATCCTCCAGCCATAATGCTACTTTTTGAACCCAAAGGACGACCTGAAGATGATGATAATGATTTTTATGTTCAAAGCAAGAAAAACATGTGCGTTGGTTGTGGTGAAAGAAACCACTATTTGCGGTATAGAATAATACCATCATGCTACAGGGCCCACTTTCCAGAACATTTAAAAAGTCATCGGTCTCATGATATTGTCCTTCTTTGTGTGGATTGTCATGAAATTGCTCATGCTGGTGCAGAGAAATACAAAAAACAAATAGCCTCGGAATTTGGCATCCCTCTATTTCTGCGAAAAGTAGCTGCTTCTGGTCAGGGTGTAGATAACAACAGTGACGTTGTTCATCAGGGGATTGTTCAGGAGGAAGGTGTATCTCCTTTGCAGTTGAGAACAGCTGCCATGGCTCTTCTGCGTCATGGATCAAAAATGCCATCAAAACGGCGTGAAGAGCTGATAATGGTAAGGCATTCATGACTACCTGATTGGTGCAAGTTTAGGTATAATTATACAATTCGCAGATCTCCATTTGCTTTAATTTACTTATAAGTCTCAATAAGTATAATGTCCTGGATTTTACCTGGATACATCTTACTTGCTTCTTATTTTACTTCTTTGTTTGTTTCTTATATAGTGCTCATTAATCCCTTTTCAACTTTGCTGCTATACCGGCCTTATGCAAAATGCAGCTGATGTGAATTATGGAATCCGAAAATTTGGTTGGTTCTCTATATTTTTTATGAGGAAGAAATAGGATATATTTTTCTTTCATCCAAAAATTAAAAGGCACAAGCTAATAAAACGAATAGAAAGAAATGGAGCTCGGGCTAGGAGATGTTAAGGAAGCATCTGGGTAAGAAATGCCAGTTTCTGATTTCCGTTTCTAAAAAAACAGGTTATATTTTTATTAATATAGTCATTTTCTTGTTGAGCTCATGAACTTTAGATTAGAAAGACTTATTGGACGTCCATCCATACAATGGTTTTTATGGTTAAAGTAATTGGGATTTGTGCCCTTTTCTCATTGTTGCTTCATGCTCATATTATCATATAATTAGTTTGGATTTTGTCAATGTCAGATCATGTAAATCCTTCCTTCTTCACGAAGTTGTTTTGTTTGTCATTCAAAAGAACTCATCATTTGGCTTCTCAAGAAATATTCTGTTTCTATTCTAGCTCTTCGTGGTGGACCCAGATGTTTATCATTTTTTATGCATGTTGTTGAGCCAGTTCCTTTCTTATGCTTGTGGAATTTGTAATTCGGGAACTTGTAGATGAAATTAATTTCCTTGGAAAGTGTGGCGGAAATTCTTATAAGCAGCTGACTCTTGACGTGAAATGATTAATAACTCTGTGAACTTAAAGGACTCAAGTACCAATAACTGTAAATTCAAATCGCATTGCTTCAGTACACGTATGCTGATAATTTATTGCCCATACATGTACATACGCTACCAGTTTTCAAACTCAAAATGAATAATTAAACTGATGATTGTGGGAGGTGATTTCTGTAGTGAGCAATCTAGTCATATGAACAGTTGTGTTAATTGGTTACGTCATGAATAATTAAACTGATGATTGTGGGAGGTGATTTCTGTAGTGAGCAATTTAGTCATATGAACAGTTGTATTAATTTGGTTACCTCTCAATTATCTTATATTCGATATGCTGGTAAACTCATTGTGCTTTGTTTGGTGACGGTTATTTTTTGGGCCTGTAGAATTTGGCTTACTCTTCTGTCGGTCCCTCAAATGTGGAATTTCCAAGGCACAAAAATAATCTTCTCCTTAGGGTTTGTGATTTAGGACATCATTATTTAAATGTGTGATGAAATTGGTAAAAAAATCTTATTGCATGTGTTAGGGGCAAAGTTGTTATGTTTCCCTTACAATTTGATCCTTCTTACCAGTGTTTCAAAAAGCGCTAGGCGGCGCCCAAGTGGCCATGGGGGTCCAGGCCGCCCAGCGCCTAGACGGGTGCCCAGATCCTAGGCAGCCCAGTTGAAAAAAAAAAATTGATGACTGATAATGATTAATCCATAAGAATTTTGATACATCTAGAAGACCATAATCCATAAGATTTTTGATAATCCATAAGACCATAATCCCAATTAAAAAAAAAAAAGATAGAAGTCCATAAGAGAATTTTGATAATCCATATGACCATAATCCATATTTTCATACAATGCTAAAACAGTAAAACCATACATGCATACATTGATAGCCTAATACACTGTAGATTGTACACACAAAAGTTAGATAGTAGAACTACAAAGTAGAAACTAAAAATTAAAAATAGAAAATATACAAAAATTTAGAGAATATACAGTCTAGGACACAACAGTCAACACTCAACACCAAGACTCTTCAGTCATCATCGTCATCAGAAGGAATAGGGTAAGCTTCATCATATGCGTCAGATTCGAGGCCATCATCATCAGAGTCATCTCCCTCTTCAATATAACGCTCATCTTCCTCTGCTTCTTCTGAATATGCCTCTTCCTCCTCCTCTTCTTCTACCTCCCTATTACTAGTATGTGCAGATGAGGCCTTAGGAGTCTTGGCTGCTCTACCATTTTCTATATTTTTGTGCTTTCCTGAACTCAAATATTGTATAATTTCCTCCCTAGTAACCTCTAGGAACATTTTTATACGGGACAACATGCCCCTTAATACCGACAAGTGGTTTTTTAAACTGGTAAATGCCCCCATTAGTATCCTTTCCACAATAATTACATTTAATACGATTTTTGTAATTCGGATTCGGGTTATAACCATACTTCCAACCCACCCGGATCACCACTTCTAGAAGAACCTGGAAAAAATATTTCCATATAACAAGGCCTATTTTCATCATTTTCTGGTTCTTTTAAATTAAGAAATTGTCTAATCTCATCCCGAATAGCTTCAGGAATTTTTTTACAAGAAGCAACATTCTCTTTAGTACCAGCAAGGTGTTTCTTGAATCAGTTAATACCACTATTGGTATCTTTTTCACAAAAATTACACCTTTTACAATTTTTATCGTTTGGTTTTGGGTTATATACTTCCAACCCGAATCACTTCTTTTAGAAGTAGCAGAAATAGATCTATTCAAATGATAAGGATTTTGTTCATGTTTTGGTTTTACAGAACTCATATATTGTTTAATCTCCTCTCTGATAGCTTCAGGAACATTTCTACATGGGGCAACATCCCCCTTAATACCGGCAAGATGTTTCTTAAACCGGTTTATGCTCCATTTTGTATCTTTTTCACAAAAATTGTATCTAATGCAATTTTTGTCATTTGGATTCGAGTTATATCCATATTTCCAACCTGGATCTTCACTTCGACTAGATCCTGAAGAAGACATCTCAAAATAAAACAAGCAATCTAAAAAATAAAGTTTTGCACTTACTTTGATTGCTCGAACTCCAAACTCCCACCTCTGAGATGTTTTTTGGTGCTAAAATAATAAAAAATACTCTCTAATAGGATTATAAAACTCCAAAACTAAATCAAATCTACGTGGGTGATGTTTGGATCCATTTTCCTAGCTTTGAGTAATACTTCAATGCAATGAAAGTCACAAAATTTAGTTTTCTTGAGGTTTTTTTCTCTCTAAAATGGGTTCTTGTAGGTTTAGGTTTCAAATGAACCTAAGCCCATCTTTAAAACCCTTTATGTTTAAAAGAAAATCAATACAACGAAAAAATAAATAAATTCCGTCCCTAGGCAGGGCGCAGGCCCTGAGCGGCCACTCAGGGCTGGGCGCTGGGTGCCCACCTAGGCGGGTTCCGTACCGCCTAAGCAGCCGCCCATTTTGGCCGCCTAGGCCTAGGCGATGTGCCCAGGCCTTCTGGACCGCCTAGGCGCTGGGCGGTCTGCTTTTTGAACAATGATTCTTACTCTCTTTTTTCTTACTTCCGTTTATAAGAATGCGGATTTGTCAATATGTCAAGTAAAATGTATGCTACTGCATAGGTACTTTCATTTTTCTTAATGCTTCATTGTGCTCAGTTATTTTCTGCTGTCCTTAGATAGTTCGGACATATTTTGGTGGGAGAGAAGTGTCAGACAGAGATCTTGAGACCGCTCTACTTGTTGGTATGAGTCCTCATGAGCGAAGGCGTCTGAGTAGAAAAAGAGGATCCTGTTTCAAGCAATCTGCTGATAAGGTCCTTGTCAAGGAGCCAAAGGATGGTAAAAGCAGAGATGCTTATCAGTCAAGAGACGGTGTAACACTAGCAGAGGATCATCATATGACTGCAGGTTTGCAGTTTTCAGAAGACTCGTGTATTTGGAAATCAATGGAGTTGGACATTGCAAAAGTCATAAGCACTGATGAAAGAGCTGCTTCTTCAAATCATATGTATGAGTTTGATTCGTTTCATGAAATTCATATCGGTGGAGATGATCATGGTGAGCTGAAATCAACTATGAGGAAACCTTCTAGCAAGGATAATAAAGGTCATCTAGACTCCAACCATGTTGATCTTGTGAGTGGAAAAGCAACAGATGGAAGTCATCGCTCCAACGAAGTTGCTGGATACTCAGCTCATGAGACCTGCACTTCAAATTATTCCCAGAAGTTATCTTTATTAGGTCATGGACCACATGGGAAACAGGTAGTGGAATATATACTTAAGAAGTCTGGGGAGGAAGGTATCCAACAATTTTGCCAAAGATGGAGACAAGTCTTTGTGGAATCCATCTGCCCTCGTTTCCTACCAGTTGGTTGGGATGTGATGCACAGGTACTTCTGTTGAATTTGTTGTTTTTTGTTCTGTTTTAAGTTACTGAATGTGTCCTGTTCAATTAATAGGATCTTGAAATTATCTTGCTTACTGTTATGTAATATGTTCATTATGCATGAGGATAATGCATACGCCTGCTTTCAAAAACTCTTAACTTGGTGGTCGAATCAATCCCTGCACAAAACCGAGTCTTAGTTAAACAGACAATGCGCAAAAACTCTGCCTAGTTTTTCAATATTGTTTTGAAAGATGTGATAGAAAAAGACAGCATCCACGTTGGAACTCAAAAACTATGTGTCACCAAGTTCTAAAACCCCACTACTGCTGTGCAGATAACATATATATGTTTTGGAGTATCGAAAGACAACACATGTATAGCATAAACTTGAGCATACCTGAGTTTTCATAAGTATAACTTGGCAACTAGCCAGTTCAGTTATGATCTAAAAAGCACTAGCCCAGTTCAGTTGACTTGGTGAGCTTTCCTGCGAGTTATCCAATTTATAAAGTCACACTGCCTCCCTTGCTATTAGATGTCTCAGTCTCAATCATTGTCTAATTGGTTGACCTGCATAGAAGCCAAGTAGTTAGCAGGTCTGAATGGGCCTGACTGAAAGTGATGTACCATAAACTCTAACAGTCCAAGTGTGCCATCTAAATATATTGGCTGTCCAGCCATGATTAGCTCTACCGCCTCCAATTTTCTTTTATGAGGTAAAGCCTGTCCTGACCTACCCATGACTACACTAACCTGGGAATAACAACAAATAGATAAAAGGACATTACTCCTTTTGCTTTATTTGAACTCTTTTCACCTCTCTGAATTGGCTGCCTCATTATGGAACGACAGCTGATTTTGAAAATGCCCATCCTGCAATGATCTTATAAGATATCAGAGAAAAAGTTTAATCTTCCTTCATTTTCATTGCATTCAAGTTTTGTGGCTTTCCTAATTTGACTAGGAACTACAATTTTATATTATGGTTATCTTATATCGATTCTTATTATGTCCCCTGTGCCTTCTAAACTGGAGAATATTAACAATAAAGGGACAATAAATTTCCATTTAGATCGTCATATTGATCCATTGCTTCCTAATTGTAGGGTTTGATGCAAGCAACTGTGAGCACCCATTCTAGCTGTAGATCTGTAATTATCTTTTAGAGTTGTTCGTATTGTGGGGCTTCATTTCTTTTTTTTCTAATCAGAGTTCCATGATTGTGCATAGAAGTGACCTATGTCTGCTGTGCATCAGAAACACATTCAGATTGTCACTCCCTTGTTTTGTGCATTTAGAAAGATAAGTGTTAGGGCATGAAATGTACACATGGACTGACAAAGAAGATCAGATTATACAAGGTCTTGTCAAGATTGAGTATGTCACCGCTTCAAATTGTTAGGATGCAGGTGATGTCCTTAGCAATACTGGTCATCTGAGTTCTTCAACTGGCTCCTGGGTATTGACTTGGGAGCATCTAATAATATGGCGGCAAGCTCTATGAATTTTGCCTTTCCTAAGAACTCTTTTGGTGAAATATCCTGGCAAATGGTTATTTAGCTGAGGACCTGGAGGTACATTAATGTAGGGTGTTAATCCAGGGGTTTTTAGCTTTCCAGCAAACATCCATAGGCTACACATGTCAAAATCAATGCGGAAAATGGAATTACTAACCTTTGGCATTCTTGTTGGCCCCATTCCTCGTGTGTCTACTCTTCTTTCTATCTTTTATGTAATGTTTTTTTTTTTATAAGGTTACATAGGAATGGAACTTGAGACGTTGTACTATGAAAACCCAGCCTCTACCATCTTGACCCAAGCCCAATTCCTTCATCATTTAAGTAATGTTACTTTTGTTAAGCTTGTTTGTTGTGAATTGATCAATTATCCTTGCAATCTAAACTGCATTTAATGTGAACAAAACTTTGTGATGCTATTTTTGCTTTTATACCTTGGAAAGTTCAGACTTTTGGGTCCTGTACTTGAAGTTCCTTTGATTTGTCATAAATACCCCTGCTCTATCGGTAGTTGCTCTGGAGTTGCTCGATGTACCTTTCAAAAGAAAAAAGTTTTAAGTTTTAATGATTTTTAAAATGTCATAAATTAGCATGGTTCTTGCTTGATTTGATGCAAAAAACTTCTTGACAATGTGGCAAATGGCACAGTACCTTCGTGGCAGTGGTTTCATACTGTCTGAGTGCTGATCTTGAGGGACTTAAAAACAGATTTACCGAGCATAGGAATCATGATAATCTTGCGGTAGCTGTGTTTCTCTTGGTTGGCATGAATGTTCTTGAGTGTCATTGGTGAGATGTTGCATTAGCAAGATGCATGTATACAGCTACAAGATACTGTTTCTTGTGATTTTATATGCATTTCAAAATTATTTGACAAAGATATAGAACCCATTTTGACATATCTGAGCATCATACATTACGCACATGTTGTCTTGTCTATCAAGAATGCACTCAAGTTCTTAATTACCAATCTCCTCTGGTATATATGTCTTCTCTTCATATTTGTCAGTGTACATGCCATTTACCTAAAAATATTCATGACAAACTTGATATTAGATCCACAGCTGCATCGTCCTTCTTGGTTGTTGAGGAGCACAAAAATGTTATGAGTCTTATGACCCCACTAATAAAAAGCACAAGGGGTAGGTCCAAAAAGATATGGTTGGAAGTCGTGAGAAAATATATGGTGACTTATGGCCTCACTAAGGATATAACCCTTGGTAAAGCAGAATATTGGACCAGGATTTGTGTAGCCAACCCCAAATAGTTAGGAAAAGGTTATGATAATGATGATGATGTTTCATGCAATGTTACTGTCTTCCAAGAGAGCCTCATTTGAATGCCTTTTTTCATGCATTGCCACTATTGATTAAAGAGTCCTTTATTTTATGATTGTTACGAGTCACTCCTTAGCTGTACTATAGTTGTTGGAAACGTCTGTGATTCCGCATCGTTTCTGGAATCGGAATCGCATGTATCAAAAGTTTCAGAATCTAGGAATCATTGTCCGTACGATTCAAATTTGAGAAAAATGATTCTCACTATTTCGGAATCGTGATTCAAAAAATCAAGAATCGATGTTCCTTCATGTTGGAATCGTGTTTCATACCTATATGGAATCACACATGACCCCACTTGTTTCGGTGGTTGCTGAAATCATGTTTCTTAAAACTATGGAATCGTGATTCCTAAAAATAAGGAATCCTGATTCCGAAAATTCTAGAATCGTTGTCCCCATCAAGTTGGAATCACGTTCTCACCATTCTAGAATCGTGATTTTCCCCATATTGGAATCGAGATTCTCCCCTTACTAGAATTGTGAATCAATTCCCTCCGGTATATGAGAGAAGTATTCAAAAACTATATAAATTTACCCATTACTACATGATCAAACTTTGGCCTGTATATACTCAATCCAAGACTCCAAGTACTAATGTCAACCTTTATGATATCTTTGTGGACAATCTCATATAATGGACTCAGTCTATCGATAACCCTATTATGCCTACAAGGTCTGGAGCTAGTCTATGCCATACAAAGAGTGAGAACAAGGGCAAGCTCCCATTATCTCCTTTCTATAAAAATATAAGTACATGACATCGTAATTCTTCTTTGTTAAATGTAGTTTTGAGTCTTGTGACTTTTGAAAATTGACTTATTCAATTTTTAATCAATTTTTCTGATATTTAATGATTAATTTAACGTAAAACACCACACAGGGTACTTCGCTCATATCCTTATTTTCTTATTTTACTTAAAAAAAAGTATTTTGATCGTCTTATTCTACTTGAAAAAATGAGAGTGCCGATCATATATTAAACATTATTACATTAGTAGTTTAGTACCCACACCACCATTTACCAAACATTATTAAATTGAAGTAACATATTTTTTTAGTATTATTTATTCTTGGTGAGAGTTCTTAACAAGTAACATGGAATGAAGGATGGAAATTAGTAAATAAGAAAATAAAAAATTTACCATATTACTTATATTTTAAATTTTCATTTTATTGCCATGTGCAACAACTTCAAATTCTCTCACGTTCTCATAAATGTCGTGCTCGCTCATGATTGAGCACACATCGAAGGGTTTCTGCTCTCCCTATGCTCACATATTACTGATATTTTAAATTTTGATTTTATTGTCGTGTGCAACAACTTCAAATTCTCTCACGCTCTCATACATGTCGCGCTCACTCATGATTGAGCACACATCGAAGGGTTTCTGCTCTCCCTATGCTCACATTGCTTCTTGACAATATGGATTCGCAATTCCTTAATACTTTGAATCAACATTTAGCATAAGTAGAATCGCATTATTGTGTAGCAAGGAACCACGATGTCTGCGATATAGAAACTTGATTCCAAACAACATGGATTCGTAATTCCAAAAAATTTGGAATCATTGTTTCTCACAAGTAGAATCGCATTCGTGTGTAGCTAAGAATCATAAAGTCCTCGATATGGAATCTTGATTCCAGCAATCCAGGAATCGAGATTCCTAAACTAGGTGGAATCACGTTTCGCAAAAAATGGAAACGTGATTCTTTTCTTTTAGAATCAACTTTCGCTCGGGGAAACGTCTAATCGAGATGCCGAAATTGAATCGCTACCCTTATAGGCGATTCGGGTAACTATAGGCTGTACCATAGATGTGGGGAGCTTGGTTGTTGGCGTGTAGAAACCCCACCGCCCCGTCCTAGTGGGGAAATCTCACTCAGGTGATCCTGGAGATGGAGCTCGAGTGCAGCTCACTTCCCCCCATTAAGGGTCCCCATCTTATAAGAATTGCAGTCCCTAATAAAAATGGATCTTGATCCCTAGTTGAAAGGGATCTCATCTCCTATGGAAGATGGATGACAACCCACCGAAAATGAGGTCACACTCTTGGTTTCATAAGGAGAGTTTGAAAAGTTTTTAATGTTGAACCCTGCATCTTTTATGGGACGAAATGTTGTGCAGTCAAGAAACAATATATCTATAGATCAAATATAGCTAAGATGAGAATGTTGAGATGGATGAGTGGCAAGACAAAAAAAGATAGAATTCGAAAGGAATACATCTAAGGGAAATTAGTGGTACTGCCAATAAGCAATAAGATGAGGGAAAGTAGACTTAAATAGTTTGGCCATGTGCAATGTGGACCTAGTACAGCTCCAATTAGGACGGTTGATTTGGTTCAAGTAAAAGGCAGCTCCAATAGGCAATAAGATGAGGGAAAATAGACTTAAATAGTTTGGCCATGTGCAATGTGGACCTAGTACAGCTCCAATTAGGACGGGTGATTTGGTTCAAGTAAAAGGCTCTAAAAGGGCAAAAAGAAGGCCCAAAAGAATATAGATGGAAGTAGTGAGATATGATGTGACCTATGGTTTGATTGAGGATATAGCTTTTGATAGAGAAGAATGGCAAAACAAGATTTCCATAGCCGATCCTTTTATATATATATATATATATATATATATATATATATATAATACTATATAGTACGTACTACTTCTACGACCTACCTACCTACCGTAAGGTAGAGGTAGGTACGCCGACGGTCTACACTACCGTACCGTTCCCCTTC